ACCCCCCTCCTAAAACAAAAATTAAAAAAAACGTAAAGGAGTAAAGATGGTTTGTATTTTTTAACAAAAAACAACATACAAATAATAAAACTTGAATTGAATCACTAACAAATTATATTCCATTCAAAGAAAAGAAAAGTTAACAGGAATTAAATTTTCCTAAACATTCCGCATGCCGTATATCTATCAATGGTGTATTTTATATAGCGATACGCGCATATCGTGGAACTATTGTGAGAGGATAGGAAAGCGTGTGTGTTTTTTATTATAGAAGTGAGAAGACATGAGCCCCTGAACACTGGCATACTGATGGGGGTATTACTAATTCCATACCAGTGATTTACAAATATTGCTTGAAATAACATTTTCCGGTATTTTTTCTCTATTTTTTGTTGTTGTAAATCGTACCTTTTTATGCGTTTCTTGGAAAATAACACATTCCCAAATTTACAGTCCGGCCAAAAAATGTGCTTATTTAGAAACCTTCATGTCAGGCCTGCAGAACGTCGGGACTCGGGGGCTTCAGCGCAACCCCTTCCCTTTTTTTTGAAAAAGGATGTTAAAGAGCAAAAGAAAAAAAAAGGAAGAAATGTCACAAATGTCAAAATGTCACAAATGAGGTAACAAAATATACTCATCTGGCCGGGGGTGCACCCCCTTTATCCCAACAAGGGCCTTAAAGAGAGCCCCTGGATGCTTTTCTGACCGTAAATAAATATCTAAAACCCCTGAGCTTAGGGGGTCTGCCCCCTTAACACTAACATGGGCCCTAAAAAGAGCCCCTGGATGGTTATCTGACCATAATTGAATACCTATAACCTCCGGGCTTCTCAACAAGGGCCTTAAAGAGGGACCTTGGCTCCTTATCTGACCGTAATTAAATACCTAAAACCCCTGAACTTTCAGGGGCTCTGTCCCTTGAACCCCACCAATGGCCCTACGGCGGGCCCCTGGATGCTCATCTGACCGTTACCGTTATTAAATACCTAAAAATCCCTGAGCTTCCGGGGGCTCTGCCCCCTGAACCCCCTGCAAATTTGTGACCTGCCAGTTCACAATTAAGGTATCTAAATATGCTCATCTGACCGTTATTTAATGCCTAAAAACCCTGAGCTCCCGGGGGCTCAGCCCCTGGACCCAACCGGAATTTACGCTTGCTACGCTCAACCTGATCGTTATTAGGAACTTTTAGATTCTGCACGACGAGAACGTAGACTGCCCTTTTAAGGCGATGTGACATCCTTTTAAGGCACTGGCAGTGACGTCACATTGCCTTTAAAAGGCAGTTCGCGTTCTCGTCGTGCAGAATCTAAAAACTATGAGTCCCTACACCCACAACAAAAAGTGAGTCACCCTTACTCAAATTGATGAGTCACTGGTTTGTCCGTACAGCGAAACACTTGAAGGATCATGTGAGTCACTATGACTCGATACAAATGAGTCTTATTTATCTAAGAGACTATTTGTATCGAGTCATAGTGACTCACATGATCCTTCAAGTGTTTCACTGTACGGACAAACCAGTGACTCATCAATTTGAGTAAGGGTGACTCTTTTTTTGTTGTGGGTGCATCATGACATAGACCCCCCCCCCCCCTACTCCCTAGGCCTATCACACACATACCATATACCATGCCAGAGTCACTGTCCACATTTGCAATGGAAAATATATCCTAAAATATCACATTTTAGCGATGTAATCGGTGGTCCCGCTACCCGAATCTGAAAAATCTACTTTGTACGCACTAAATTAAGCCTTAACTTGAGATTTATTTGTCACCCATACTGTCACGAAACAATCTTGAATTGATTCGTTTTACATCAAATAACAAGGATCTAGGAGTTTCGTTGTATAAAACAATGATGCAAGATCATGCATGTTTTCATTCGACACGGCTTCGTGCGATACAGTAGAATCTATACACTATGAACATGACTGACAATGAGAGCGGACAAAATATACAGTTCCTCAGGTAGACAAAGGAACATCCCTTCACAGCTATTATGTAAAAAGGTGAATATGCATGTGACACCTGTTCTACACATTTTTACATAATAGCAGTAAGGGATGTTCCTTTGTCTACCTGAGGAACTGTATATTTTGTCCGCTCTCATTGTCAGTCATGTTCATAGTGATAGTTAAGTTACACACAGCCTCATCAACTCGAGTGCGGATATCGTAAAATGAACGCATGCATCATTTGTATAATAATCAGAAGATTCAGCCCACGAATCCAGTTATAAAAATCATCGTTTAAAACCATATGAATAATTATGCGTACCAATTTTTCACTACAGCCACAACAAAAAGTGAGTCATTTGACACATTTAAGCATAATTTTCGTGAGTCAGGTGTAAATTGACTCATTAGTAACAACCAATGAGTCTCTATTGACTCATTTATATTTCACCAGTGTGTCAATCATGAGCTGACGCATTTGCAAAATGCTTCGACTGACTCACATGGTCGTCAAAAATGAGTCAAGATCGACATAAGAGCATTTTAGAAGAAAAAAGTGAGTCAACTTGTAAGTGAGGCTGTATGCATGCGCGCGCATGCTTTCGTTACGTCATCCAAAATGCGCATTCTCGAGCCATATTTGAATTCCCGATCGACGACGCGACGTCGCCATCTTATATCTTGGATTCAGAAGAGTTTTGACTGCAGCTAGTGAAAAATTGGTACGCATAATTATTCAAATGGTTTTAAACGATGCTTTTTATGACTGGATTCGTGGGCTCATTATACAAATGATGCATGCGTTCATTTTACGATATCCGCACTCGAGTTGATGAGGCTGTGTGTAACTTAACTATCACTATGAACATGACTGACAATGAGAGCGGACAAAATATACAGTTCCTCAGGTAGACAAAGGAACATCCCTTCACTGCTATTATGTAAAAATGTGTAGAACAGGTGTCACATGCATATTCACCTTTTTAAATAATAGCTGTGAAGGGATGTTCCTTTGTCTACCTGAGGAACTGTATATTTGGTCCGCTCTCATTGTCAGTCATGTTCATAGTGTATAGATTCTACTGTATCGCACGAAGCCGTGTCGAATGAAAACATGCATGATCTTGCATCATTGTTTTATACAACGAAACTCCTAGATCCTTGTTATTTGATGTAAAACGAATCAATTCAAGATTGTTTCGTGACAGTATGGGTGACAAATAAATCTCAAGTTAAGGCTTAATTTAGTGCGTACAAAGTAGATTTTTCAGATTCGGGTAGCGGGACCACCGATTACATCGCTAAAATGTGATATTTTAGGATATATTTTCCATTGCAAATGTGGACAGTGACTCTGGCATGGTATGGTATGTGTGTAATAGGCCTAGGGAGTAGGGGGGTCTATGTCATGATGCACCCACAACAAAAAGTGAGTCACCCTTACTCAAATTGATGAGTCACTGGTTTGTCCGTACAGCGAAACACTTGAAGGATCGTATCGAGTCATAGTGACTCACACGATCCTTCAAGTGTTTCACTGTACGGACAAACCAGTGACTCATCAATTTGAGTAAGGGTGACTCACTTTTTGTTGTGGGTGTAGCTGCAGTCAAAACTCTTCTGAATCCAAGATATAAGATGGCGACGTCGCGTCGTCGATCGGGAATTCAAATATGGCTCGAGAATGCGCATTTTGGATGACGTCACGAAAGCATGCGCGCGCATGCATACAGCCTCACTTTCAAGTTGACTCACTTTTTTCTTCTAAAATGCTCTTATGTCGATCTTGACTCATTTTTGACGACCATGTGAGTCAGTCGAAGCATTTTGCAAATGCGTCAGCTCATGATTGACACACTGGTGAAATATAAATGAGTCAATAGAGACTCATTGGTTGTTACTAATGAGTCAATTTACACCTGACTCACGAAAATTATGCTTAAATGTGTCAAATGACTCACTTTTTGTTGTGGGTGTATTACTCCACTTCGAAAAACGTTCCGGGGAGCCATGTAAAAGCGGTGGTCAATAAAGAATTTTCTTCTGCCCCCCCCCCCACCCGATTTTTTATTTTTTGTTGTGCTCATTACGTCATTGCCCCTGGAAGGTATTCAGACCGGGCATATTGAGGACAATAAAAAGAAATCCCTGTTTTTTTTTCTTCTTCTGTACTTGTATTGAGTGGGAGTACGGCATGTAATAAGTTTGTCAGAATAATTATCCATGGTCTTTTGATTCACCTGATTTGTTCGCGTTCTTTTTTTAAATTGTAATTATTATCTGAGGTATCTTATCCTCATTATTTTGTTCCTAATATAATATATTATTATATCCAGATTGCTAGGAAATTAAGTGGAAGGTGTGCTCCTGAATGATTCATACCAATGGAGTCGTTCAAATCAATGGCGATCCTTAGCGTTCTAGCAATCTTGTCTAAAGGAATTAGATATTGCATATTACAAATCAGTTCTTTCCATCTTTTAAAGAAGATTTATTATATAGTAAAAGTATTGTCGCACTTTCTAAATATTTTCATTTCCATGTGGAAGAATATCATATGCATGACGCCCCATGAATAAGTAAGACTGAGTAAAGGGCTCTAAAATTTCAAATACATTTAAAAATTGTATTGAGTTGAATTGAATCGACAACGTCATATCATTACAAAATAAAAGTCACGGGTAAAAGCTGATATTTCTCAAATTTGCCAATATGAAATACATTCAAATAGTCCAATGTAAAATAGGCAAATATAAAATTGAGACATTTATTAGTGACATTGATAGAATGATGAAAGGAATAAAGCGAAGAAAAATAAATAGGAGAGAAAAAGTAAGAAAGAGGAGGGGGAAAAGGGAAACAAAAAAAGAGGGCAAATGAAATCCATTTACAAAATTCAGTTTGTATCAACAATAGTTTACGTCATTACGTCATTGCCCCTGAAAGGTGAGCTCCATGGAATTTTAGCCCCACCCCCCCCCCCCCCCCATCCCAAACTGCTTCCGGCGCGCCTGCACGCGAAGGTTAGTTTTTGATTACATGAAAAGCGATTGTAAATATGGGAAACAGACTTGTTTCTGTGATACACAGTTTTATTGCTGACACGGTCTGTTCTTTTTCACTTATTCCACTTCCAGGCCCTTGTACGTTTGACATGGATCCACCAAATGTGACATGTTCAAATGTAACGACACTATTTTTCTTACCAAATTCCTTTCTCGGACTGAATGTTGGAAGCGGATACACCTACGTGGATGATAACGTTGACCCAAGTGGTGTCTCGTACAACGTCACAAAGGGTCAGGACGGAGACTTGTTCCCTCCAGGACACACACCTGTTACACTGTTCGCAGAAGATACTTGTCAGAATGTAGCTACTTGTCTCTTCTATGTAGAGAACACACGTAAGTATGAACATGTAATGCTAGTTCCCGGCCATTTTTAGTTGGCCGTTGAATAAAGTACTATCATATTTAATTTACCACATACATCGTGTATTATCAGTCCAAATCAGAGCCTTATTTAGTCACTCAATTCAGCGTTTCGAAATTGTTTGTAATGGTTGATTGCCAAAATTTAGTTACTTGACCATTCGACATAGAGAACTCACGTACGCCTTTTATCATGCCCTAGTAGTAAAATATATGTATTTTCATCATAATAGTTTTGTGTCATATAATTGTTCCACAAGTCACAACTTTCCTCCAAAACAGTTGCAAAATTATGGATAAGGCAAGAAATGCACAGTTTGTGGCATATCGTGAAGGCATCCCATCCAGCAAAAATATGATTGTTTATAGTTGCATTGAGATTCAATTTAGGATATCATTTATTATACACATATACAAATAATTGTCAAAATTAAAGGGACTTTGTAACATTGTTCAGATGAGAGATAGTGGCGCTAAGGTAGTGACTTCAATCCTAGATGTACAATTAAAGATAATCTGAAAATTTGAGTGAGAAAAAACGAATCATTATTCATGGTACAAATTGGGAAAAACTGATCTGATCGATTCCTTAATTCTCCCAACTATATTATTCTACTTCTATTATGCTACTTGTCAAAGCATGTTCAGCATCACGACAAGGACAATTTAATTACATTTTAGGTCAATGTTAAATCGTCACAAAGCAATAAAATGGCTCTACATTCCATTCCCGACAGTTAAGTTTTGACAGATTTTTATAGCCTGTTTTATATATTTTTCTCATGAAAAAACGGTTGGGAAAATTCAAAAATGGTTGGAAGAATTTATTGTTAATCACTGTTAGAGGGTGCCTCACTTCGACGCCTTCATAGAAAACCATAGATATCTTTGTGGTTTGAGAATTTGTTCAGGATTTTTTGCATGTCAGAGGGTTAGTATAGTAAAAGGAATATAGTAAGTAACATTTTATACACAAATTAAGCAATTTTTTTCATCAACCTTCAACAATGTTACCGAGTCACTTTAACTAATTTTTGTCTTCATTTTTTTACATTTTGGATATTTTGGCAGTTACCGAGTTGCCTGTGAATTGTCCAGACTTGAATCGCAATGTAAGCACAGATGTGGACAAGGCAACGTATACCTTTAACCCAGATTTCGGAGCAGATGACGTCACCAAATCTGCAAGTGGTTACAGATATCACGGAGGTGGTGTCTCGGTTAATCTTACACTTGGAGGTTCCCCATTTGGAAGCAGTGTGTCCATAGGAACCCATGACGTGGTTGCCCTCATCTATGATGACGTATTGAATAAGACATGCACAGGAATCTATATTATTACAGGTAATCTTTGTGATACGATTTCCATCACGTTTTTGTGAGGAAGTATGATTCACCATACCATAAAGTTTCTTCTATTTAGTGTGAAAGATTGCTGTGGTAAAGGTATGGGCTTTTGCTGAGTATAATTGTGTACGTGCTCGGTGATAAACACCTTTAACATGCATTACTTCTAACTCCAACATATTTTGGATAGTCCCTTCTCACCGATAACGAGAACCAATTTTTTGATAGAAGATAACAAACGAAATAAGAAGAAAGAAAAAAAGACAGTCACGGTATAAGTGGGCATATTTTAGTTCACTGATTTACGGAACGCCGAGTGCAACTTTCTCATTCCATGAAGTTTACCACATTTTAACCAAATTAACGAATACAAATCATGCCCAGAAAAAAAAAAAAATTCCCTATTTTCAAAATCAATCAGGATAAACGTAGTCCAACTTCATGAGTACCGGTAATGATTTCTCTCTTTCTCTGATATTTTAAACATCCCTTTCCACAGTATACGTGTACAGATTGCATTAGGATAACGAAAAAGAAATAAACTTTATTACCCCCTCCTTTATAAGATGATAAGTTGGGATAAATTGTTTCAGATAGCTTTTATGTTGAGATTATTAGGGATAATTCAAATTTCCAACTTTTCACTAGAAACTGTAAAGAAGACCCAATTTGTTGAACCATGAACTTACCAAAGGTATGTAACCTTTATTAGCGAGATTGGGTTCGGCCTTCTATTCAAACCGGGCATATTGAGGACAATAAAAAGAAATCCCTGTTTTTTTTTCTTCTTCTGTATTTGTATTGAGTGGGAGTACGGCATGTAATAAGTTTGTCAGAATAATTATCCATGGTCTTTTGATTCACCTAATTTGTTCGCGTTCTTTTTTTAAATTGTAATTATTATCTGAGGTATCTTATCCTCATTATTTTGTTCCTAATATAATATATTATTATATCCAGATTGCTAGGAAATTAAGTGGAAGGTGTGCTCCTGAATGATTCATACCAATGGAGTCGTTCAAATCAATGGCGATCCTTAGCGTTCTAGCAATCTTGTCTAAAGGAATTAGATATTGCATATTACAAATCAGTTCTTTCCATCTTTTAAAGAAGATTTATTATATAGTAAAAGTATTGTCGCACTTTCTAAATATTTTCATTTCCATGTGGAAGAATATCATATGCATGACGCCCCATGAATAAGTAAGACTGAGTAAAGGGCTCTAAAATTTCAAATACATTTAAAAATTGTATTGAGTTGAATTGAATCGACAACGTCATATCATTACAAAATAAAAGTCACGGGTAAAAGCTGATATTTCTCAAATTTGCCAATATGAAATACATTCAAATAGTCCAATGTAAAATAGGCAAATATAAAATTGAGACATTTATTAGTGACATTGATATGATGATGAAAGGTACACCAGGTACTACACGAGGCAAAACACAAGGTTAGCTAGGTCAAGTTTTGTATAGGGTTTAAAGCTTATCTGCCATAGTTTACAGGAGGGATTAGAGCGCCCTGCAAGGTCACTGGACAGGTGGTTATCTCATCAAATCAGTTCTCAGTTAACATAAAGAAAAAGAGGATCATGGGGGACCAATGGTCACCGATTAGGCATTGTTCGTTATATAGAGGGCGCAAGTAGCTACTAGTAGTACAGTGGGCCTTTAAAGTTAGACACACTACTGTACTTTCAAGCAGTTGGGTTCTCTGAATGTCATGTGGCCATTGCATCGGTAAGAAGTTTAAACATTTGTCACACCTTATATATGTCTTTTTCAATGTCAAACAGCAATAATCAAATAAACTAAGCGCACAAATCTCAAAAATATTTAGTTCTATATTAAAACTTATAACTTTTGTTTTTTTCCCTCACGAACTACTCCAGGAACAACACGAGAAACCACTCTGGCTACAACACCTGCAACAAAACCTGCAACAACGCCAGGAACGACACCCGGAACATCACATGGACCAACACCTGTGACAACGCCAGCTACAACACCTGGAACAACACCTGAAACAACACCAGGCACAACACCAGGTACTACACCAGGCACAACACTAGGTTAGGTCAAGTTTTGTTTGAGGTTTAAAGGTAGACAAACTACTCTACTTAAAAGGAGTTGGGTTCTCTGAATGTCATGTGGTTATTGCATCTGTAAGAAGATTAACCATTTGTCACACCTAATATATGTCATTTCCAATGCAAAGCAGCAACTGATAATCAAGTAAACTAAGTACACAAATCTTAAATATGTTTAGTTCTATATTAATACATATAACTTTTGATCCTTTCCCTTGGGAACAATTCCAGGAACAACACCTGGAACCACTCCAGCTACAACACCTGCAACAACGCCAGGAACGACAACTGGAACAACACCTGCAACAACATCTGTGACAACACCTGGAACAACACCAGGCACAACACCAGGTACTACACCAGTCACAACACCAGGTTAGGTCAAGTTTTGTTTGAGGATTAAAGTTAGACAAACTACTCTACTTAATAGGAGTTGGGTTCTCTGAATGTCATGTGGTCATTGCATCTGTAAGAAGTTTAAACATTTGTCACACCTAATATATATCTTTTTCAATGTCAAACAGCAACAATCAAATAAACTAAGCGCACAAATCTTGAATATGTTTAGTTCTATATTAATACTTATAGCTTTTGATTTTTTCTCTCAGGAACAACTCCAGGAACAACACCAGGAACCACTCCGGCTACAACACCTGCAACAACACCTGGAAAATCGCCAGGAACGACACCCGGAACATCACCTGGAACAACACCTGTGACACCGCCAGCTACAACACCTGGAACAACACCTAGAACAACACCAGGCACAACACCAGGTTAGGTCAAGTTTTGTTTGGGGTTTAATGTTAGACACACTACTGTACTTTCAAGGAGTTGGGTTCTCTGAATGTCATTTCCAATGCTAAACAGCAACTGATAATCAAGTAAACTAAGCACACAAATCTTGAATATATTTAGTTCTTTATTAATACATATAACTTTTGATTCTTCCCCTCAGGAACAACTCCAGGAACAACACCAGAAACCACTCCGGCTACAACACCTGCAACAATACCTGCAACAACACCAGGAACGACACATGCAACAACACCTGTGACATCACCTGGAACAACACCAGGCACAACACCAGGTACTACACCAGTCACAACACCAGGTTAGGTCAAGTTTTGTTTGAGGTTTAAAGGTAGAAAAACTACTCTACTTTAAAGGAGTTGGGTTCTCTGAATGTCGTGTTGTTATTGCATCTGTAAGAAGATTTAACATTTCTCACACCTATAATATATGTCATTTCCAATACCAAACAGCAACTGATAAGCAAGTAAACTAAGCACACAAATCTTGAATATGTTAAGTTCTCTATTAATACATATAACTTTTGATTCTTTCCCTCGGGAACAACTTCAGGAACAACACCTGGAACCACTCCAGCTACAACACCTGCAACAACGCCAGGAACGACAACCGGAACAACACCTGCAACAACACCTGTGACAACACCTGGAACAATACCAGACACAACACCAGGCACAACACCAGGTTAGGTCAAGTTTTGTTTGATGTTTAAAGGTAGACAAACTACTCTACTTAAAAGGAGTTGGGTTCTCTGAATTTCATGTGGTTATTGCATCTGTAAGAAGTTTAAACATTTGTCACAACTAATATATGTCTTTTTCAATGTCAAACAGCACCAAATAAACTAAGCGCACAAATCGTGAATATGTTTAGTTCTATATTAATAATATTAATTTTTGGAAAATTGATTGTATCTCTGTAAATATTGATCAATTTTCATCCACATTTTGATATGTTTTAGCTGAGACAATTCTCTTTCGATGCAGTTGTCACAAATTTTCATTTTGACGAAAGCATCATGGCGTATTTTTGCGATTAAAAGAGGCATGTCAATTGTTTTCATTTTGCGTGTATTCTCAATGGGACATGACTTTTTCTGAAAACTGGATTCTACATTCCCGTCTTTCACGAGCAATATCTCCGTTGTCTCAGCTTCGTTTTCGCTAAGCATCGAGTATGTTGTAGCTGAAACAATAAGCTATCACATGAGTGTAATTTATTTCTCGATCAGATGCCGGGATCATGCTCATATTTCACTTGCAAAGTGGGATTTGAGAATTTCATTTTCCGTTTAAGTGTAATCGCTATGGGAAATGTTTTGGTATATCGGTAACGCACTTGACTTCGGACCTCGAGATCCCTGGTTCGAGTCCGGGAGTCTCCAACAATTTTTTTTCTTCTTTTTTTTTTTCTTTTTTGACTTTACAATGATCATAACATTGAAAACAGACCACCTAAATCGTCCCCATGACGAATTAAATTTCTAGTTATTATTTATTTTTTATTTCTTCCTGTTTTTTGTTTATCTGTTAACTCAAGATCAGTTGTGTTAATTTCTTTTAATTTTGACACAGTCATAAGTAATTGTCATGAGACGTGACAGGAACATTTTCAAGGTCATCAGGTCATCGTGACGTCTTCAAGGCGCCATTTTGTGAAATCACGTTATCCATCATATCTTCATGATGCATCAGCAAAGGTCATTCATATTCATATCACATATATTTCAGGTCAAGGGTCAACAGGTCATGTCATTAAAAGGTCACATAAAGGTCATGACGCGCACGTACGCGTGCGTCAAAATTTAAAAATGCTCAAAATCACTTATTTATTAAACGAGAGTAGGAATCAGGTCATTTTAAGCATTTCAAAATTTTCCGTCCGTACGTGTCCCCGCGCGCGTTGCGCGCGCTCACAACGCGCGTTAAAGGTCAAATTCAATTTGTTTGCATGATTTAGATTCCTCTTACCGTAAATGACAATTTGCATTAATTTCAGTCACTCTTGACCTTTCATAAGGCCGTGAGCGCGCGTCAAAGTTCAAAATCCGCGCGTGCTGCTATGGAAAATATAATGCAAATTTGATCAAAAACATGCCATTTTAAAAATCGAAATAGCTCTTCAGATAGTTAAATGACACCCAACTTTTATATCATGATTGGAAAAAGCATGAGTTGGAGATATGATTTCATGTGTCATTTGACCCTCAATTAACTCATGACGTCATCATAATGGCCTCCGAACTCAAAATTTCAATTTGCATATTATGACGTCAGCAGATTTTTGCAAAATTGATTGTATCTCTGTAAATAATGGTCAATTTTCTTTCAAATTTTGATATGTTCTACCTGAGAATATTCTCTACAAATGCAGTCCCACAAAATTTCATTTTGACAAAGGTATCATGGCGTTTTTTGCGATTAAAGGAGGCATGTCCATTTTTCACATTTTGCGTGTATTCTCTATGGGACATGACTTTTTCTCAAAACTGGATCTACATTATCGTCTTTCGCGAGCTATATCTCCGTCGTTTTATCTTTGTTTACGCTGAGCTTTGAGTATGTCGTAGCTGAGGCAATAAGCTATCCCTAATGTGGACTTTATTTTTCGATCAGATGCCGGGATCATGCTTATATTTCACTTACAAAGTGGGATTTGAGAATTCAATTTTCAGTTTACGTGTAATCTCTATTGGAAATGTTTTGGTATATCGGTAACGCACTTGACTTCCGACCTCGAGGTCCCTGGTTCGAGTCCGGGCGTTTCCAACAAATTGTTTTCTTCACTTTTTTTTTCTTTTTGACCTTTCACTGTACCATCTCCTTTGAATATTAAAACACGTACAATCGCAAATAATGTAATAAACAACCATATTTACTTTAATATTACCCTATTATCACTTGATCCATTACTTTTGGCGTGTAATCCTTATGGGAGATGACTTTTTCTCAAATCTGGATTCTACATTATTGTCTTTTGCGAGCAATATCGCCGTTATTTCGGCTTGATTTTTGTTGACAAGGCCGTCTTGACAAACTATCTGCATTGGCATGCGAGCGACCAGCTCGGTGTATGATTTCGATATCATACTCAGCTATCACTTGAAGCCAGCGGGCCATCTGCCCTTGCGGATCTTTGAAATTCAGAAGCCATCGCAATGCTCCGTGGTCCGTCCTGACCGTAGTCTTCTGCCCATACAAGTACTGTCGGAATTTCTTCAAAAATTCTACGACGGCGAGCAACTCCTTTCTGGTAACGCAATAGTTCTTCTCTGCTTTGTTCAGAGCTCTGCTAGCATATGATATGACTCGTTCCTTTCCATCTACCACTTGAGATAGGACAGCCCCTATCCCCTCATTACTAGCATCCGTATCCAGGATATAATCCTGTTCTGGGTCTGGGTATGCTAAGATAGGCGATTGGTACAGCCGCTTCTTGAGTTCCTGGAAGGCATCTTCACATTCCTCAGTCCATACGAAGGTGTGGGCTTTCTCGGTTAGCCGATGTAGTGGCCGGGCGATATTGGCAAATCCTTCAGTAAACCTCCTATAGTACGAGGCCAGTCCTAAGAAACTCTGGACGTCCTTTACACTAGTAGGGGTTGGCCACTCCTTGACAGCTCTTATCTTTTCTGGGTCTGTGGACACTCCTTCCCTGGACACTACATGTCCCAGATACAAGACACTCTCCCGAAATAGGTGACATTTCTTTGCTTTGAGCTTCAATCCTGCTTTCCGAAGACGTTGGAAGACCATCCCCAGTCTAGTCAGTTCTTCGTCGATTGTTTTGGCGAATACAATGACATCGTCCAAGTAAACCAAGAGTACTTCCCAATGCAGTCCGGACAGGACCTGCTCCATCAGCCTCTCAAAGGTGGATGGGGCGTTGCATAGCCCGAAGGGCATCACTTTCCAGCTGTATAGCCCTCCTCGAACAACGAAAGCTGTTTTCTTTTTGGCTTCTTCATCTAGCTCGACCTGCCAATATCCTGAGGCCAGGTCCAAAGTAGAAAACCATTTTGCACCTCCAAGTGCGTCCAGCGAATCATCAATGCGAGCTATTGGGTAGCTGTCCTTGATTGTCAAGTGATTCAGACGACGATAATCCACGCAAAACCTTTTTGACCCGTTTTTTTCTTTACGAGAACAACATTGGATGACCAAGGGCTGTCTGAGGGCTCTATTCTATCATGTTCAAGCATGTCTTGGATTTGACGATCAATCTCTTCCTGCTCCTTGGGTGGAAACCTACGGGGCCTTTGTCTGATTGGTAGACTATCCCCTGTGTTGATGTGATGTTTGACAAGGCCAGTCTTTCCAATGTCTGAGTCCGAAATTGCGAAAATGTCTTGGTTCTCGCACAGTAGCTTGGCAATTCTGTCATGGAAGACCTTGTCTATCCCTCTCTTGCTTCTTTCAAAGAGATCTACGAGATGGTCTGGGACTGTATGATTATCGGTTGTTGGTAAAGGTTGGCCTGGAATTTCTTCAATGTCCTCCCCGCTGATGGGTGTTAGATGGCCGGCAAGTGTACCTCTGCGAATTACGCATGCCTTCTTTCCTGGGTTGAAGACTCGAACAGGGAGGGTTGTTTCCGTCCTTTCTACAACTACCCGTGCAACGATGATGCCTTTGTTCAGGAGCTCGCTACTCTCCGCAGGTTCAATGAGACCTAGACCTGTCCCATCTTGCAGCCCTGTCGTGTAGCCTGGAACAATAACCTCATGACCTGGTTGCACCCTTGTAGTTGCCCCTATCAATACTCTGGAGCTAAATGAAACTCCTCGTGCATCCGTACATTTGATTCTCTCTCCCTTGAGCCGCAGTTCCTTTGTCTTCAGATCGATAATACACCCATTTGGTTCCATGAAGTCCAGCCCAAGTAGCCCGTCTACCTGGTCGGTATTGCCGAAGACTACTTCTAGTGGAAAGATGCATGTTCCTACACCAAGCTCCAACCATGCACTACCTAGCGTTTCCATGCTACTGCCATCTGCATTGCGAACTCCCACTTTTGTCAAGTCTGGCCTATTAGTTGAATGTATCCGATAGTACACGGATGAAGATAAAATGGTATCGGTGGCACCTGAATCTACCAACAACCTTGCTTTGATTCCCCTTATCTCCACTTCAACAAAAAGACCACGTCGTGCTTTATCAGATATGTAATTCCTTGAAGGATATTCTCGAGGAGATGGAGGTGTGTCAGTTACATGCCCTGGTGTCCGTCCAGCCTCCCCTCGGGCCTCTGGGTTGGCTGAGCCTCGTTTCCCGAAGGCCTCCTGTATTCTCTTGCGTGAGGGCAGTTACGCCTAAAATGCCCCTTCTCATGACACTCGTAGCATTCATCTGTGGCTGTTGGTGTTCTCCGCCTGTACGAGTTGGGTCTCTCTCGTCTGAATTCTTCTGACTTGATGG